TCTGCGGCTGTCCTCACGTCCGTTCCATCTCTTCTCCACTCGCTCTAGGCTCAGCCCCGGCCCTTGCCGTTACCCCCCGGTGGGGTTCTCTAGAATGAGCCTGTGTGGATGTGGTTTGTTCTTTGTGTGAACTGCTAGGCTAACTTTACCTGGACTCCTCCAAAGATCAGATGTTAATTGCGTTTTAGCCATGTGTCATGGGGTGTCATGGGGGCGACAAAAGGGCTTACTTTTAGGTGCATACACATTGACTAGGGGAGGAGACGAACACAGAGCAGTTACAAACCAGCGTGCCATCCCGCATGGCTGACACACGGTCAGAGTATTAGAAGAATGATGGGAGGGAATGCCTGACTGCCTAGTGGGGCTGAGTTTGGAGAAAAAGACTGTGTCCAAGGAAACATTCTCAAGTGCGGGGACCCTCAGGCTGACTCAGGAATGATGGGTTTGCAAAGAAGCAAGAGAATGGGGAAGGAAAGTTATTTCGACGGAGGACAGCTAGTTCAAAGGAGGGAGGTATACGGTATTCTGTGAAGGGGCTCTGAGCCACGTGGCGTGAGCAGAGAGGTTTGAGCAGAGAGCCACAAGAAATTAGGTTAGCTTCACTGGTAGTGGGGAGACAGTGAAAGGTTTAAGCAACAGAATGGTTTACATTTTGGAAGATTCCTCTCACTGCCATAGGGAAGAGAGATGTAGATGAGGCTTACGGCAGAAAGAGAACAGCAGGGAGGCTGTGGTCCAGGGAAGAATCAATTTCAAGGGCCTGAGCTCAGGTACCAACAGGAGGTTTGGAGCAGCGGGAGTTGGCATGAGAAATATTTGGAGAAAAAAAATCGATGGAAAGGAGATCATGGAGTAAATGACTCTCTGAAATAGAAAAGCTGATTTTGTGAGAAAAATAATATGTTTGGTTTTTTGGTGAATTGAAGTGCACACAGAATATGAAGATGAATAGTCCCAGCCGGCAAGTGGTAGTGACGTCAGGCACAGGATTTAGGCTGAAGACAATTCTGGAGTCATTAGTGTGTGAGCAAGAACGTAGAGCTATAGAAATATGTCCAATAGGGCTGAATGGTTCAGGAAGTTTTAGGAGACCCAGGAGCCAGTGGTGTTCCAGTGTCTTAGTTTGGCTACTATAAAAAAGCTCCATAGCCCGGGTAGTCCAGGCTGGCCTTAAACTTGTGGCAATCCCCCTGCCTCAGCCTCAGCTTATTTACAACATAATTTTTCTCTCACCGCTCAAGAGACTGAGCAACCTGGGATGGAAGTGCTACCCTCTTGGGCGTCAGGCAGGGCCTCTTCCTGCTTGCTTCCGGCCATCTCCTCCTCGTCCCTCACAAGGTGGTGAGGACAGGGGAGCAGAAACAGCTCTCTTGTGTCCTCCTCCTCCTCTATCTCTGCCTTTTTCTTCTTTGTGGTACCAGGGATTGAACCTGGACTTTTTGCACTGAGCTACATTCCTAGTCTAGTCCTATTTTTTTTCTTTTCTCTTTTGAAAAGAAAAGAGTCCTGCTAATTTGCTAAACTGTACAGGCTGGGATCAGACTTCTCATTCTCTAGCTTCAGCCTCTCAGAGCGCTGAGATTACAGGTACGTACTCCACATTTGTCTTCTGTGATAAAAACACTAATCCTGTTTATGAAAGCTCATAACCTAGTCATCTTCCAAACGCCCTCTTCTTAATACTGTAGGATTTCAGCATGGGAACTGTGAAGGACTCACTCAGTAAAAGGACCCAGGAGCATGGGGAAGGGAGTGTGACAAGGAAATTTAAACAGGATGGAAAATGACTGGGAGGTCAGGCAGCACGACAGACATTTTTGTTATAACTTAATGGCCTTGTTGCAGGAGTTTCATTGAGGCCCTGGGAGTGGACGTCAAGTCTGAGAGTAGATTAGAGGTGAGGAAGTGGAAAACCCATGGTGACATCACTTCTAGGAGGCTGGGCTCGGGGAAGTCAAAGGTAGAGAGCAACGGCGGAGTTGAAAGGGATCTGAGCGGTCCCTGGGGAGTGCCGAATGGAAGAGCGTAGAAGAGAAGGAAAGGGGGAGAGAGTGTTATTAGAAATGGAAGAAGGCAGGTAATCTAGTGTAGGTAGAGAATCCAGCTTTAGATAAAGGAGGCTCCCTCTGAACTGAGCTATGATAAGGGTTAGTTTGTATGTTATGAGGTAGGATTGTGTATAACAAGTTGAAAGAATTCACAGTCTTTGATAGCCATCATGTAGGAGCGGTGGGTCATCCCTCAGAAGGAATGGGTTTGGGGCAGGAAGCCTGGAGTGAAGACAGTCTCTAGGGTTTGGCTGCAGAATTGAGCAGGGAGAGTGAAGTGGAGGTCATTGGAATCTGGAAGGGCAAGGACGTGAGGCCGAGGTGTTGGACGGGTACCTCATCAGGGTGTTTGTTTTGCCCAAATTGATGGTGAGACTGAAGTGAGAGGAAAGTGATGAACCTGGGGCTGCAGCTCTCAAAATCTGCAGGCAGGCAGTTATTTGGGTCACCTCTGTAATAGCTCAGGTTTACTCTGGATAAAGGATGGATTGAAGACAACCCTGCCCATGTAACAAAGCTTACCTGCTGGTAACTGTGCTTTCTCCGTTAATAGCGAAGCAGTTATGGAAGGAGATTCATGTTGTTTGTGACTCTTACACTGGCTTATGAGATATGAACTCTGAACTTCTTGTACTTTTCCAGGGAGAAAAAAAATATCAATGCACAGATAATCTCTACCAGTTGGCTGTAGCACTAAAAACTTGCTTAACCTCAGAAAATAATTCTGACTTATTGGAAGGTTAAGAGTAGTCTTTTATCTATCTATCTATCTATCTATCTATCTATCTATCTATCTACTTACTCACTTACTTATTTATTTATTTAGATAGGGCCTCAGCATGTAGTTCAGGCTGGCTTTGAACTTACTATATAGCCCAGGATGGCCTCAAACCACAGTGATCCTCCTACCTCAGCCTCCTGAGTGCTGGGATAATAGGCACGTGCCACCACACTTGGCTAGCATAGACTCTTTAAAGTGTTGAATAATTAAAGTTAAGATTGATTTTTTTTTTTATGAGACAAGGTCTTGTTATGTAGCTCTGGCTGTCCTTGAACTCTCTGTGATCCTCCTGCCTCAGCCTCCTAAATTCTGGGATTACATGCATATGCCACCACACCTGGCTAAGATCATTTTTAATATCACCTAAAGGGTTCAAAGTCTTTCATGATAGTAAATTACTGTGTCCCCTGAAAAGCACTGTCAGGGCTCCAGGTCTGTCTCTATGAATCCTGTTGCAATCTTTGGTAATTTTTGTTAGGCCTTGTCAACTATTGTTTCTAAGGGCAAACAAAGCAAAGAACTTAAAACTTTTATGAGATTTACAGCCTAAACCCAAGCCATAAGTGAAGCATAAGAGGTCTTAGACACTTGGCCTGTACGATGTTTTTTCTTTTAGACTTCCTCAAAGCAAAGAGACAAACCACATCAGTAGATTAAGCCTGTTACTGATGAAGCTAGACAGTGCCAAATTGATATCACTGAAAGTAGCACCAGTTTCTTATCCTGAGATCTAGATGATTCGCACACCAACCCTAAGCCAACTTACTGAACACTGAATCCTCTGCACTGCTTTGTGGGGAAGGGAAAGGTACGCCGAAGTAAAAGGCCTATCTAGAGAGACAGTCTGGTTCAATGATCACAGGATTTAAATCTGCTGGTGTTCTGTAATGTGTTGAACGGTGGTCTTACCCAAAAGACTCACTTAAGGGGTAGCATCCCACCCTGTAAGTACATCTGCAAAAATGTCACACTACCTGCAAATGTAGACCTCATTTAGTGAAAGACTTTGATCTCTTTTGGTGATGCTAAGAAGGGATCTCAATCTTCACTGCAGTGATTAGTTATGAAAAGTCTGCTTCTGGGCCGCAGAGCAGCCCCCATCACTGTGTATGCGGGCAGATCAAAGATTTTGATGCAAGCGAATAAAGTGATTCCAAGAATATTAACATTTGGATGGCAGCTAAGTGCCCTGTCTGTCCAACAATTCTTCTGTAGACTAAAAAATATTTAGTTAAAGAATGAGAACCAAAACCATGTCTTATTCATGATATTACAGAAATGCATTCCTCATGCCTTCAACTAATAATTCTGCTTATGCTTCTTAAATACATTACGTCTCATCACGAATTCTCATTCTTACTCCAGTCTCAAATTGAAACTGCTTACAGGACATTTCTAATTAGAAATTCTGCCACCACATCAGCGTTTATATGTCTAAAACCATATTAATAGCATCCCACAGCCCCAGCAGTCCAGTTTCTGTTACTGATGCCACCTGCTACTGATAGTGCCGTCCCTGAGATTTCCCCACAGGAGAACAAATGATAGCACGAAAAAAGTGGAATGGTTGTCAAGACTTTGAGTTTGGTTAAGACTCTGCTGCTCAGACGTACATAATTTTGGTTAACTCACATAAACGTGAGGCTGTCTCCTCATGTGTGAAGCGAAGCGCCTGGGCTAGAAGCGAGATGACTTACTCAGGTATGTACAAACATGCTGGCTGCGTCGGCCAGTCATTCGCAGGGCCAGGTGTGGGACTTGGGGGTGTCTGACAGGGCTCACATCCTGCTGTTGTGAATCTGTCCTGGAAACACTTCCTGCCCCCGTCTTAAACGAAGCCTCCTTGATCCCGTCGCACGGCATCTCTGCGGGGACCTTTCCTCTCTCCCGCGGCTGTCACTTCAGCCCGGCGCTCTGTCTCATCTCCTGACTCTGCTCACACCTTGCAGTGCACCCTCGGCCTTGCTCTCCCTGGCCGGGATCTGAGGCTTCCCCTATTGCTGCTCCACAGTGCTGCCCCAGGTCTTTAGACCGCTGTCAAGGTCTCTGCCGTTTCTTATCTCTAATTGTATCTCTACTTTCCCACATGAAACCCGTGTTTAGCCATCTCAGCTTTCGTTCTTTTCCAAACGCGCCTCTCCTCTGCCTGTCTGCACTTGCTGAGGGCCCTCCTGAGATGCTTTCCTCCCACCTGTCTTCTCAGGAACCTGAGTCCGCGGAGCTTGGGACAGCCACATGTCCTCTTCTCAAGGAAGGACTCCCCAGAGAACACAGGCCACAGCCCCACGCCCTCAGCTCTCTGCCAGGGCCCCTCGCCTGTATTTTGCCTATGCTGGATTCTTGGTTACAGCCGATTATGCACTCTCACGTGTTACGCATGAGGCCTTAAACTACAATACACCTGGAGCTCCTTAAGCACTTGTTCTCGTCAGGCACTTTTTCCATGGCCTAACCCAAGTCCAGGAGGACAAGAGTGGAGGCTGTGACTGGGATGTGCTAGGTCTGGCTGGCCTGAATTCTTCACATGGGTCCGTGTTCTCCTACCTGTGTGACCATGGGTGAGTAACTTATCCTTGCTGAACTTCCATTCAATTATTTAAAAATCTGGGGCATCAGTATTAGCTGCCCCAATTATTCACTAGTTGCTGATAGTTAACAACAGAAAAGTGTCTTTTTTGTTGTTTTGTTTGTTTGTTTGATACAAGGCCATGCAATGCAGTTCAGGCTGGCCTTGAGCTCACTATGTAGCCCTGGGTGGCCTCAAACTCACAGTTTCTTAGTGCTCCTGAGTGCTGGGATCCTAGGCCTATTCCACCATGCCCAGCCAGTCTTTAAAGATATTGGTATGTAGTGTTTACGTAAGAGTTGGCTATTGTTACTTCATTGGATTATTGTGAAATTAAGTGAGATAATTCGTGTAAAATCCTGTGTGTTTCCTAGCCTATAATAAGCATTCAATAAATATTACCCATGGTTATTTTATTTAACAGCTGAGGAGGCTTAGTGGAAAAGAAAACGGGCATAGTCATAATTGTTGTCAAATATTTTAAGATTATGAGCTAGCATTATAATTATCTCTGTGTTTTACAGATGAGGAAACTGAGGCTTAGAGAGATTAAATCATTTGATAAAGTCACGCAATTACAAATGAATGGAGCAGATTAAACAGGCAGAAAGCCTACCAGCAGAAACTATTATGTTTTAAGCTATTATTTTCATGCTAATCTCTCTGATGTTTTGTTTTTTGTTTTTGTTTTTTTGGTGCTGGGAATTGAACTTGGGACCTCATGCTTACCAGGCAGGTACAATTCCCCTGAGCTATATTCCTGGCCTAATCTCTCTGATGAAATCACCCATATTTTTCTCATATAGCTATTTTGAGGGCTTTAATCTTAAGGATCAACTGCTTTTATCTAATGATAGATGTGAAATATTTCAAATATATTAATGGTAATTTTTTTTTTTTCTCTTTCGAGACAGGGTTTCACTTTGTAGTCCAGGCTGGCCTGAACCCACAACAATTCTCCTGACTCAGCCTCCCTGGTGCTGGGATTACAAGCTTGCATCACCATGCAGGGCTTGTTGGTAGAAATTATTAAGCAGGCAGTATCTGGAAAATTACTTTATTGCTAAAATAATCCTATGAAGTGGGGGAGCTGGGGACAGTGGCACACACCTGTGCTGCCTGGTCGTGGCCTGGGCAGTGTGGTGAGAAATTTTGACATGGCAGTGAAAAAGACATGAGATTCGGGTTCACACGGTCCTGGTTCCCATCCTGGCTTTACCACTCACCTGGGCAGGATATTTAATCCTTCGGAGATTGCATTTCCTTATCTATGTGATGGGGACAGTAATACCTCCCTCATATGTTTGTGGTAGGAATTAAGGAGGTAACATAAGTAACACTCCCAGCACAGGGCCTGGCCTTTAGTAGGTTTCAGTATATTTCAGACTCCTTCTTCCTCTTCCTTTTGACAGTTTGAGCTGAAGCCTTTTAGCTGTCGGCAGTAAGAATTAAAACACAATGTTGTGACTAAAGAAGAAGACTATAAGACCAGGCATTCCATGGCTCTGACCTTGTGTTATAAATAACCAAGCATGGCTGGTATTAAACACATGTGAACACCTGGCACAACTTATTCATAACTACTGTCAACATGGTATTTCTAATTAGATGGAGCTCCTTCTGCAAGTTATGGCATGTCCTACTAGTGAAAGTCATTTGCTAGGCAGGTGGGGCATGAGTAGAATATTTGAGACAGCCAATAGTCTGAGTTGGGAATGCTCATGAGGACACGTGAGGAGCAGAGAATGCTGGGATGTCGAGTGTGCATTTCGGTGAGCCCTTTGAAGGTCATAGCCTTCTTTGATGAGCATCACACTGGAATTTTCCAAGGATTGTTTTAATTTAGTCTTTGGACTGAATTGGTGGTGACACAATCTGTTTGAAAATAGCACGAATAGTTAGGTTAGAAGCAACTGAACATCCTGAGATGTTAATAATGCCAGCTACCAGGAATTCATAGATAGGAATTTCCTTCCCAAACTTGAAGACTCCTAAGTAGGTACACGAGACGCTTGAGCCCAGTAAGAGAAAACATCCACCTCTCGCACATGTGGCAGGGTTCAAGTAGGCTGTACAGAGGCTACGTTTTCCTTTCCTTCCTTTTAAAAGTTTCATCAGGATGTGTTACCTTACACAGAGTGGATGATCCCTTGTGACTTCACGGTGCTCTCTGAGGGCAACTGCTGGCTGGTGCAGCCCACAGGGATGATGGGCGCCTGGGTTTCGGGACGCTTTACCCTCCCATTTACCCTCTCAGCTCTGGTTTCAAAGATGCTTTGTAATAGAAATCTTTCCCATTTCTTTCTTTCTTTCTTTCTTTCTTTCTTTCTTTCTTTCTTTCTTTCTTTCTTTCTTTCTTCCTTCCTTCCTTCCTTCGTTCCTTCCTTCCTTCCTTCCTTCCTTCCCTCCTTCCCTCCTTCCCTCCTTTCTTCCTTTCTTCCTTTCTTAGTGCTGAGGCCAATGTTAGGAAAATTCTTTACCGATAAGCTCCACCCCATCCCCTTTCCAATTTTGTTTTGATTCAGGGTCTTACTAAATTGCATGGGCTGGCCTCACACTTGCCATCCTCCTCCCTCAGCCTGTCAAGGAACCAGAATTACAGGTGTATGCCACTCTCCCATTTCATAGGATTATTTTAGAAATAAAATAGTTTTCCATATAGCACCTGCTTAATAATTTGCATCAATGTATTTGAAAATTTTCCCATCTGTCATTAGATAAAAACAGTGATCCTTAAAACTAAAACCCAGCCAGGTGTGGTAGCACATGCCTGTAATCTCAGCACTCGGGAGGCTGAGGCAGGAGGACTGCTGGGAGTTTGAGGCCAGCCTGGGTTACACAGTGAGTTCAAGGCCAGCCTGCATTACAAAGTAAGACCCTGTCTCAAACCCCTTCCCCCTAAAAGACTAAAGCTCTTAAAATAGCTATATGAGAAAAATATGGGTGATCTTATCAGAGAGGTTAAACAGAGACCCAAAAGTTAAACTGTCTGAGTTCAACTTTGACTTGACCACTTGTTAGCTCTGAGGAAGATTTTAAAGTACCAGACACTTACAAAATTGTATGTAAAGACTTAACACAATGCCTGGCATGGGATACCTCTTAGTAAGTATCTTCTTTTTATTTTTGTTAATATCAATATTACAGAGGTTTACAAGGTTGTATTGATTTTTTTTTTTTTTTTTTTTTTTTTTTTTTGTTTTGAGAGTCTGTCTAAGTAATCCAGGCTGGTCTCGAACTTGAAGCAATCCTCCTGCCTCATTCTCCCAAGTGGGATTACAGATGTGCACCACCACACTCTGCACCAAGATTATATTTTCCAAGATAGAAGTGAGATATTATTTAAAAACTTAGTCTTTAAACTCAGAGCAGGCTAAGCACATCCTTTAAGGGAAACTGTTTAACTGTAAGACATTATATGTTTGGATACAGAAGCCAGGTCTCATCATGTCTTTGACTGGCTAGGGGAGGCACAGAGGGAAGAAGGAACAGGAAAGCTGGTTGATGGTATTTGTTGCCTCTGTACTCCCTGAACTTGATGAAGTCCAGTGAAAAGATACTTCCATAAAGAGAGACATTTAGGGTAGATTTGCTGAAACACTGCTTGTTCATGAACTATGCTGGGGTGTCTGTTCAGTCCATCACCTATTTAGGAACTCAGCATTTTGCGACTACAAAGATAAAACAAAACCAAAATCTAGTTTGTAAGGCATTTACAGCTGGAGAGCCAGATCCGAAAACAAATGTTTTTAAAAATAACGATAGAGGGACATACCTGGTGCTGAGGGAGCTCAGAAGAAGGTGTAGCTTTTGTTTCGCTTTTACTGAATCCTAAGTAATTTGCAAATGCAGATGCATCATTGTAGTGAGAATTTTTGAGAAAAAAGGGATATGTCCATATAACTGAACACATTCGTTGTGCAACACATTCTGACTTCAGAAAAGAGAGTTTGCGAATGGTTCACAATAGTCAAATCTTGGCGATTTGGCCAGATGCCCATCAACTGGTGGATGGATGTGGGTTTTTAATACAACAGAGTACTAATCTGCCATAAGGAAGGATGCGTTCGAGACGTTTTTAGGTAAATGGATGCACCTTGAGACCACACTCTTAAGCGAAATAAATCAGACACACATGTGTGAATACCACATTGTTTCCCTGGTGTGAGAAATCAAATGTGTAAAGAAGGACCAAAATGTATAACTGGTACTGTGAAATGGGAGCAAAACGTTCAAATGGGGTGGGGGACAAGGGAGGGGGAGGGAAGAAAAGAAGGGTAAAGTAAAAAAAACTGTGAGAAAAGAAGAAAAAATGGTAACAAAGGTTTTGTAAATGGGGAGAGGGGAGGGGTTGAAGAATAGGGGTTGGGGGAATGATAGGGGAATGAGGAGAAAAAGAAGCAAGTTATATCATGTACAGCTACTAATTCTCTAGAATGATGTGATCATGTGTATCTAAAATGCACCAATAAAATCTGATTGAAAAATAAACAAATAAATAATAAATGAAAGAAATGAGAGTGCATGAAAACTTTGTACCTTGCTCCCAAGAGAGCGCGGAACTGGAGGAGGGGCTCTGGAGTGGTCCTTCCCAGCACACTGTCAACGTGCCTTCCCTCAGCGGGAGTGCGAAGCACTTGGGAAGGGTCTTTCTTGGACTTAGCCCCTGGAAGTATAGGAAATAACACTCGTGCTGGGGGAAGAGACCCGTGGGTTAGCACAGAGGAGGGATGGTGTTCGAGCTCTCAGTGGCCAAGAGTGGGTGCACACATTCCCAACCTTACTAAAAGTCCCAAGTGGCTAAGACCTTGTCTCTCTTGTCTCTCTCCTTCAAAGAAGGAGGCCCTAGCACCAGGTCAGGAAATCAGCAGCTCAGAAAGGATAAAATGATTTGGAGTCTTTCCCTATAAACAGGCTTGACATAGACAGACACTGGTCTTTGAGAGAAGCCAAACATTAGGTCTCTGCTGGGAACTCATAAGTGCCTGAGGG